CACCGCTGGGCCCGAGGCCGTGGGGCAGGGTGCTGAGGTCTGGACGTGTAGGATCGCCGCCCGGGGCCCTGGGATGAGGCCCTGGGAGGACTAGGCCTCTGGGTAGGACGGCTGGGTTCCCTCCTGTTCCTGGTTTTACGGCACATCGCTCCTGGAGGCCAGAAGCCAGTCTCAAAGACAGCATCTCCCGATCTTCGATCTTCGCAGCCTTTCTGTGCTCGCAGGGATGGGGAGCCCTCCCCCTACTCCCCCTTCTCTCCCCCTCCCCCCAGGCTCAGCTGTGTGAGGCTGCTGAATGCCCACCACCCAGCATAACAGCAGTAACCCCTACGTGTGTCCAACACTGTATAGGGCACTTCAGTGCATTTTCCTTTGAGCTTCAGGATTGGCAGAGAGAACTGATGGGAATCTCATTTGACAGATTTCGAACCTGGAGATAACATGTGCCCGGCACTGTATGGGTCACTTTATCCTTTTTAAAAAATTTACTCATTTTGAGAGAGAGAGAAACATCACTCAGCTGCCTCTTGTCTGTGCCCTGAGCAGCAAACGAACCCACAACCCAGATATGTGCCCTGACCGGGAATTGAACCCACCACCCTTTAGTGTACGGGACAACTCTAACCATAGAACACACTGGCCAGGGCCCCTTTATGCTTTTAGAGTCAGGATTGCTGCTCCCATTTTATAGATGAGAAGCTTCGGTAACAGGTTAAGTGCCTGAGCTGAGCATTCACAGCTGATGTATGCACAGCCAGGATTCACACCTGGTTCGCTTGATTTCATCAGAGCCTTAGTTGGTTTTTAACATTTTCCCCTAATTTTTTTTCTTCCTCCCTCCCTTCTTCCCTTTCTTTCTCATAGAGCATCCTGCCATTCTCCTATGTCCAACTGCAGACACACAGATCCGAGGAGAACAGGCCCTGCCCCGCAGGCTGCGAGGAGGAGGAGGTAACTCGGACGGGCTCTGCCCTCCTGCTTTTCCTAGAGACGGTGACTTAGAGGTTGAGGTGGCTCTGCCCTGCACTGCAGTGACAGTTCAAACACCGTTCTCTTCCGTGGATCCCGGGAAAGAGAAGGAGCTGGGGCAGCTGTCCAGGTGTTGCCCTAAACACCTTGGAGGGGAGAAGGTGGCTCGATGACCGTGAAGGCTGGGCAGGTACATGCTCCCCGCCGAGGAGCACACATTCACTATGAGCGAAGGGTCTCTCTTCCCCTCCAGGTGAGCCGAGAGCACACACAGCTGGG